TGTCTGCTCTGGAACCCCTCACTGGTGTCCAGGATTAAAGAGACAGTAACAAGCTGTATTATGGTGCAAACGTGAGCAAGCCTTGGCTTCATGCTGGAAGCCTTGTTTCTGCAGCACAGTTCAGCTCACTCCAGCAGCCAGCGAGAAGAGAATTTGCGCAGCGTGCTTAGGGTGGGTTCATCCAGCCTGGTGCCGTACCCAGCGTGCTCTTGTTTGCATCCCTCCGAGCTAGGACGCAGATGACAAGGTGCAGCCCAGCAGACTCCAGCCAGGTGTAATGCAGGTTTTTCTACTGGATCTATGTGTGCTACCGTCAGCGCTGCACTGGAAACAGCTGGCTTTGTTGCACTGCAAGCTGCTGTCACATTAGCTAGTGTCGGATGCCAGCCATTTACAGTATGCGCCATCACAGCGTGACTTAAGTTGGCAACACAGAGTCAATCACATGCCAGCAGCCTACTGTAAGGATGGGGGAGTGTGTGGGAAGAAAGGGGGAGAAAATGCTCTTATAAAATCTTTCAATGATTTATTTTTAATATCTATTTTTCAAGCCTTGGGAAGTACAGTCCATATGCTTTTCCCTCCAGGCTGTAGTTGGCAAAGAAGCTGATGAATATGGTCCTTCAGACTCCTTCTATTTTGTGGGGAGCCAGAAAATACGGCTATGTTTAGCATGTTACCAAGGCCAGCAGCAGAGTTTGTTGCTGGGTGGTGATTCCCTGACTGCAGGCTTGCGTGCCACCTGGGACAGGGTGGGAACTTGCCTTCCTTGGAGTCAGTACTAATGCTAAATTAATGGCAACAAACTCTTCCAGTTACAACAGGATAGCTGCACTGGTCCCAGCAGGCTCAGCACGCTGCTCACTGATGCAGGTTGGTCTCTGAGCACCATGCCCCTTCCTGACAGTGCGGCCACCCACTCCAGGTGTGAGGATGGTGCTTTTTGGTGCAATGCATTGCTCGGAGAGTGCCTCAGCAGGTCTCTGTGCAGGGCAGTGGGACTGTCCTGTGCCCTGTACTGAGCATTCGATGTGCTGGAGCCACAGCTAGTCACTGCAGCAAAACTGCACCTTTTAGCGTGAAGATGCTCATCTGAAACTTAGGGGCCTGACTCCTGTTGTATTTTCTCGTATTGTGTTCCTAGGCCACCCAGGTATAAAATGGAGTTTGTCCTTATTTGTCCTCAGCCCAGTATCCACACAGCAGATTTGCTACCAGTTCCCTGTGGTTTTCCCTGCCGTGTTGCAGCTGGTACTGAGAAGTGAATAATGACGATTCCTTTGTCCTTCTGGTGGCTTTCATAGAGCTGAAATTGGTCTTGAAGAGTGTTATGTGCTGCTGAGAAGTAGTGAGAACTGTGGGTTTTGCGATGGAAGTGTAGAAGAAGGAATCACCCCTGCCAGTGTTGGAGTTCAGAGGATGCTGGAGGTGCCCATCACTTTAGAGCGAGACATCTTGAAAGTTGTTTCATAGCTGGATGTCTAAACTGAGAACATTTCGTGTCACTCTCAGTCGCATCATCAGTTCCTAAAATTCATTGTCTGAGAGATGAAGAACCTACTGTGGTGTTGGAGAGGGCAACCTGACTCAGCTGTGGCTTCTAACCTGTCCTGGTGAAATGCAGTGGTTGATGATGCTGAGGATCCAAAGGCTGGCGAGGAGGAGCTAGACCGAAGGTGTGGTTTTGAATCCGAGTGCAGCAGTGATTCATTTAGTGTTCCTGGAGCCTTGGCAGGCCTGACTGACAGCCGTGCTGCACTTCACAGCCTTCGCTCTGCAGCAGCATCCGCACAGCGCTCAGTTCCTTGCAAGTACAAGTCCTCAGTGAAACCAGGAGCACTCTGTGTGGGCACTGGTTTCTGCTCACAGCTCTGTGTGCAGGATCAAGGCCTTGTGCTGCACGTTGGGTTTTTTTTGTTGGTAATAAAAACATTTTGTTTGTAGAACACCCTGTTGGAATTAAACAAACTCTGTTTTGACAAAAAAATAGAACAAAGCTTCACACCAAGCTGGGGTGGCTTGTATCAAGGACATGCAAAATTTCAGTTGGAATAGCAAAGTCCTTTTCAAGTTGAAGAAGGCCCTGTAAGTATTGTTTACAAAAAATAGCAGCTCTTTTTTCATATTCTGCATTTCTGCAGTGTAGAAACATCTACACAGATTTATTCCAAGTTTGGTAGAAATTAGCATTTTCCTGACCCAAGGCACTGGTGCTGTTTCAACCAGGAGGAATGTCTAAGGCTGATGTGTAAGCCCTCAAAGGCTGGGGCTTAGAATAGAGCAGCTGCCTGACCATCGACAACCCGTTGCTCTGCAGGGTCTGCTCCTGGTCTGCAGCAACCTGAGCAGCCCTGCAGAAGTTGTGGAGGTGGGACGCTGCAGATATGCTCTGAGCCTGAATGCTGGACTCTTGTTGGGTCTCAGGTGATGGGAAGGGCTGTGGAGGGACCTGGTCCCATGCAGCTGGTAAGATGCCTTGAGAAGGATGACCCAAACCTACCTGGTGTTGATGAGTCTCCTTCTCCTTCCAGGTTAATGCAGATGTTTACCTTGTAGTAGTACTGAGTCTCTGAGCACCAGCCAGATGCGTGGTGCCATTTTACCCTCACTTTACACAGATGTAAGAAAGTGTCTGGTGATGAAGATTCATGTCCTCGGGCCTGTGTGCAATTAACTCGCTGTCTGGGGCTGTTGGATTGCTGAGAAGCCAAAACAATAGTGTTAAAAAGCCTCTTTCTTTTTGAGTTGAGTTGTTGGGAGCCATTGGGCTCTTCTAGGAGCAGGGCAGAGAGTTTCACTCCGCAAAGGCAGGCTGCTGAATTTTGAGAGTGGTTTTTCCTGCCCCAGTAGGTTTAGCCCATCACTTCTTGCATTTAATTATTTGCCTCTAAATAACAACAGGGAGCCAGGAGTTTTGTTTAACTCTGATCTCCTTGGAGCAGATGAGGGAGAAGCCTGTTTCTCATGATACTCCATCACCCAGCCCTTTTCATGCTGCAGATGGGCTCTGCAGCCCTTTCCCCAGTGTTACCCCACCAGGAAAGAAGGGGGAGGAAGGCACACCTAAAGCTTGCAGATCTTCGACTGCTTTCCAGTGATCTGCCCCTCTCTCGGCATGCTGAGGAGCCTGGCTAGGGGTTCAAAAGCAGCCCCTGCAGTAGTGGGTCACGGCATTGGTTTTGTGCAGTGGTACCCAGGCTGTCCAGCAATTCCACCTGTACATTTGTACAGGCAGAGACAGATCTTAAAAATCCCTGGGGGAGCATCCTGGATGCAGGCGGGAGCCCATCCCAGGGGCTTTCCAGCAGTCTGTGCCCTGGGTGCAGTGGTGGGTAACAGGTGGACCTGTGTGGACCTGGTTATGGGATTACGGCTCTGCTGCAGGTAATCCTCCCAACAGGAGCAGGTACATGGGGTGACCCCAGGTACCCCTTTTCTGAAAGCAAACTTAATTATGTGAAAAGGGAGAACTCAGTGTCCAGCCCTTGACAAGAGTGCCAGGGACAGGCTGGGTAATGGATGGTACTGCTCCTTTGCTGGCTGCTGGAAGAAGCATTAGTTATCTGTCATGCAGCAGCTCTGTGGTCCCCGGGCCCGGCCTTGTTTTATTAGGCTCTGAATAGCTACAGAAGAATTACTTCCTCTAAAAAATTCACCGTAAGTTATTTATAAGATTTTATGCATAAAGTTGCATAAAATGTTTCTTGTATTCTGTATGCCTCTATTTCTTGAGGAGGAGAAGGGGGGGGGGGAGGGGGGAAACACCCCATTTTTCAAGAACTATTTCATCTTAATGACAAAATTTGTTACTCGTTTTGTGTGTTCAGTGGACTATTGATATTTATCTCCATGTCTTCTTGCAAACACTGTTAAAGCAAGGCACAGTTCATAGATGTTTTTTAAAAGTGATAGTGTTGGTTGATGGGAGGTGATCTGTGACACTGGTGATCCTTTGCTTTTCAGGAGCCTCTGGCTTCCCTGGTGCTTATGTTTATTTAGGGTGGGGGGAAGTAGTCAGCGATGCAACATACTGTGGCTTTTAACAATTGAAAGCATGAAGAGGAAATTTTATAAATTCTTCCTTTAATTAGGAGTTCTCAGCATCTCAGGACATGTGTTGAATCATAGAATCGTAGAGTGGTTTGGGTTGGAAAGGGCCTCAAAGATCATCTAGTTCCAACCCCCCTGCCATGGGCACGGACACCTTCCACTACACCAGGTTTCTCAAAGCCTCATCCAGCCTGGCCTTGAACACTTCCAGGGATGGGGCATCCACAACTTCTCTGGGCAACCTGTTCCAGTGCCTCACCACCCTCAGAGGGAAGAATTTCTTCCTTAGATCTAATCTAAATCTGCCCTCTTTCAGTTTAAAGCCATTGCCCCTTGTCCTATCACTACATGCCCTTGTAAAAAGTCCCTCTCCAGCTTTCTTGTAGGCCCCCTTTAAGTACTGAAAGACTGCTATAAGATCACCCCAAAGGTGCTGCTTTACAGAGCTGTCCTCTTGATGTTTTACCCAGTGCAGCTGGGGAAGTGATGGAGACAGTTTTGTTTCTTGCTGTCTGGTTGTCAGGGACAATTAAGTGGTCTGGTGTTGGGAGGGAGGGGAAAAACAACCCACGCAAGAAAATTTTGTTGTTTTCTGGAACTGTTGCCACTAGCTTCTGAAAATATTGGTATTTGTGTTACGTTGTTATTTATTTTTTTTTACAACAATCATTTTAACATGAGGAAGCCTAACTTGTGGGTTTAGCTTGATAGTATTTGGTTAGTGTTACTGCAGGAGAAGTCATGTTTCTCTTCTCTTCACCTAAGTATTGCACTGCTATAGAATTACCACAAAAGAGGCACAGTAGCTACCAAACTGCCTCCGCCCAGATGATTGTGGTGTTACAGTAACCCAAACAATCCTTAATTAAATTTCCCTGGCTGCCCTGAGTGTTACATTCACTGAAATGCTGTTTCATTATGGTTTGGTGTTTTGTTTTTTTTTTTTTCAGGGCCGGTGTACCCGAGAGAACTGCAAATATCTCCACCCTCCCCCACACTTAAAAACACAACTGGAAATAAACGGACGCAACAACCTGATCCAGCAGAAGACGGCCGCAGCCATGTTCGCTCAGCAGATGCAGTTCATGCTGCCGGGCGCGCAGCTACAACCGATTGTAAGTTACAGCGCCGGGCCGGCTTCGCGCCGCTCCGCCTGCCTTTCCTGTTTCCTCGCCGAGGCCCCAGCCCTGTGCCTTTGCTCGGGTGGTTGTTCGTGCTGCACGGAGTTGGGCAGTGTTTTCCAGTGGGGTGCCTGATGCTACCTCTGTGTTTCCTTGCAAGCTGTGGCTCCCCTTTCCGCTGATAACTAAGGAGCTATAAGACTCAGGGCATCAAGTGGAAGGGTGGATTTTGACCGGGTGATTCAAGCACATCCCAGAAGTCCTGAGCGGCTCCATTCCAGCGGATCCTGTTTTGAACAGCTGTTTTACACCAGAGTGAGGCTGCTGGAGTTCTTCCATGCTGTGGCAAGAGGCCAGCTGACTCCCTTGGACTAGATGCATTGCATTGGTGGGCTAAAATTGAGGAAGATGAATCTTATCCAGACTGTAGGATTTTTATTTCTGGGAGTAGAGACCCATTTCATTACCATTGTCCCAGCAGAGAGTTGTGCTAATGTCACAGCCTTGTCACTTGTTTTTCACAATAATGCTGTTTTATACTAACAGCAGAAAAGATTTGCTTCTCGTCAGGCAGGGAGGGAAGCCCATGGGAGACAGGTGTTTGCAGAGCAGGTAGTTCAGAGAAGCCTTCACTGCCTGTCCCTGCTGTAGCTTCAGTTAAAACAGGTTTTCAGGCTGAAGAACCCTGTTAGGCCAGGGAGAGCATGGCTTATGTCTGCTGGGTGGTGTATCTGGGAGGAGGTGACATTTGTCAGCTGAGTTTGAGTCTGTCACTATGTGTATTTTAAGAAATGTCAGAGGTCTTGAAGTAGCTCTTTGGTGCTGACATAAATAAGCTGTGCATTTTTAACCGAGAGCCTAATTAGCAATTCTCCATTTAAAGTTGGGGCTGAACGTGCACATCAGAAGGAAATCCTGAATTCCTACAAAATGGTAGCACTGGTTTCCTAGCCCTTTACCGAAAGCAAACCTTTCCTGTTTGGGATTTTCCTCTGTGGGGAATTCACAGTGGACGCTTTTTGGCTGGCTATTCAAAACATCTTTGGGATTTCCTCTTTGGAAAGTTCCCATATTCCCATTTTGCAATCTTGCAGGTCCAGTTCACTCCTGCAATTTGACTCCTGCCTGTTAAATTGCCTCTGAGACTGAATCTGTCGGTTTGTCTCGTTAGTGCTCTCATTTCAGAGGTAACCTTATCTGATGAGAAAGGTCCCTGGTTTCTCAATGGTGCCATGAGGGAGGCATGGGCAAAGAAGAAAAATAAAAATTTGTTCTGCAATGACTGCTCCCTTCCTGCTTTCCCACACTTTGCTCAGAGTAAATGAGCTCTTGGTCTAATTCCTGCCGCCTGACTTGCTCCACACCAATTTCAGGACAAACAAGAGGTTGCTCTTTCACCTGCCTTTGATTTCCCAAAGATGCTGCCAGTGGAAGCAGGCTTTGAGATTTATTTTTTTTTCCTCTCTAAACGAGAAGGGCGGGGCCTCCTTCTGGCTACACACGAAATTCTTCAAAGCAGAAAGTATTATATCAGATGCAGCAGCAGAACAAATCCCATGTGATCGGAAAGCTGATCAACAGGATGCCTGCTTAATTGGGATGCTTGCCAGAGAGGAGATTTGGAGCAGCGTGCTTAATAGCTCCAAACAATGGCTGAACGCTTAGACGTTTTAAAATGCATTTTCACCAGAAAAGCTATTGCATAAAAAAACAAAAACAGAAACAAAAAAAAAACCCCAACAACAATAACAAAAACCACCACCAAAAAAATCTAACAGCAAACCCAGCACTTGACGCAGCAGCTTTTCACCATGCTTCCTGACATGGCATTGAATGTGTCTGTTGCATCTAAACATTCACCACCAGATCTTCTTGCACCACCACTGACATCCAGCAAAAACTAATCTTCCTGTTGAACCAAGAGCCAGGACCCTGATGGTGGCTGTTTAATGAAGGTACTGCTCGGGGAAGAACTGTGTCCCAGGTGTGCTGCCTGCTGCACGCTGCTCACAGAAGCCTACTAGGTGTGAATTAATGGTTGCTGGTGTGAGCTTATTTCTCTGAAGTCTCTGGGTGCTCTCTGATGTTGCTGCTAACTGTCTGTGCAAAGCTGAGAATCACGTGAATGTTTGGTGCCCGTGATGCACAGCGCTTTAAAATGAGTCGGGCAAGGACATGGAGCGGAGTATTTGGTCAGCATGGTGTATTTGTCTGGGAGAGACCTTGGAGAGACCATGTAGGTGCCAAGTAGGAAGACTGTAGTAAAGTTTTGACTTTCAAAAGTCCAAACTCACCTTGACTGCTGGCTTTGGTTGAGCTGTGCAGGAAGGTCTCTGGGCTGATTTTGTGCCTCTGTCTCTGTTAGGCTGCATAAAAGTCAGGTTAAAGATGAATAGAGCTGGGCTCTGACATCAGTATGGAGAGCCACTTTGGTCAATGCTGTGTCTGGTTTCTCAGATACGGTCGCTTTGAGCCGCGTGTGCACCAAAGTGAGGCTACCCAAAAAGTACTGCACCCTGGACCTGATTCCTTCCCTCCCCTTCTGCTTTATCCCTTTGCAGCAGTGTGAGACAGACTTCTGGAGCTGGTTGTGGAGGTGCTCCAGCACTGGCTCTGGATTGACCTTGAGGAGCAGGGCAGTGGCTTGCGTCGTGCTGCTCTGTTAGCTGAGTGTGAACAGGCAGTTGGATGGATCATGGCCGTGTTGACACACCTGCCTCCGCTCCTGCCCTGCCTCTGCTGTGCTGGGATGTTATTTCCCTTCTCTGAGCTCTCTTTGTTTTCAAACTCTTCATCTTTTCTTCCTGTCAAGCTCTTTGTAGCCAGGATTGTCATGACAGCTCTGAGTTGCCCATGCCCCTGAAGGCAACCCAAACTTTAACCCAGCCCTGCTGGGGCAGCAGGACCCTGCCGTGCCACCCCTTGGTGCCGATGAAGGGGTTAAAGCACAGAGTGACCAACTCACTTAGCCCATGACACCTGGAACAAGTACTGGAGCAGATTTCAACAGGTGTTTGGGGCACATGTTTGTTCCGTGCAGCAAAAACCTTATCTGTATTTCAGCCTGTACTCAAAGGCACAGTAGGAATGAATAAACACATGTACCCCAGCCCACCTGGGAGCTGGTGCCTGCCAAGAGACAGTGCTGTGGGGTGTTAACACCTGACTTTTACGCTACAGCAGCCCACAAGTGAGAGATCCTTTGAGCTAGGAGTGTGTCTTTGTGGTTAGATTGGGGAAACGAGCATCTGGTGGTAGGTAGCTGGATGCTTTGGTCTTTGGGCTCGGTCCAGCATGCTCAGCCTTCACGTGAGAGGGATGCTTTTACAGCCAGCCCCTGCAGTTGCACTGGAGGGGAACACAGTTTTTTTGCTTTTTCTGAACAGCATCAGTTGTGTTTCCAGTATCAGGGTCTTCGGCCTTGTCAGTACAAGATCTTTATCTTCTATATTTCTGTCACCAGACTGTAATAAAAGCTTCTGCTGGTTTTTGTGTTTTCCATGTGTAGCTGCTTAGCAGCGACCTGTCTGCCCTCCTTCAGGCCATCAACACCTCTGTATTTATACTGGGGCTCTCATTTTCAAGCTTTCCCTTTTTAGTGTCTGAGGTAGCTCAGAATCGACACTTCCCGGCTGACGCAGCGCTGGTGTTCGACGAAATGCCAGCCGCTCCGCTGCCTCACTCTTCACACCAGCTCTGTGTTTCTTCTCGAGCTTTGGCACGATCTCTCCTAGGCAAATTGAATGCAACTTCCAGTTTGTTAACAAAATCAGCTGTTCCAGGTTCTGTCGCCACCAATGGTGACAAATGCCCCTCCCTGGGACGGTCCCTGTCTCTGCTCACACCTTCCACCCAACGGCTCCTGTGTGGGGCTCAGAGCTGTCAGAGTCCTTGGCAGCCCCCACCCCGGGATGTGTTCTCACAACAGCCGTTTCAGCTGCTTTCTTTTCTTTTTTTATTTTCTCCTTTCCCCTCTCTTCCTCCTTTCCCCTCTCTTCCTCCTTTCCCCTCTCTTCCTCCTTTCCCCTCTCTTCCTCCTTTCCCCTCTCTTCCTCCTTTCCCCTCTCTTCCTCCTTTCCCCTCTCTTCCTCCTTTCCCCTCTCTTCCTCCTTTCCCCTCTTTCTCTTTATTCTTACAAGCATTTTAATATTCAGTAAACCAGTCTTGTGAGCTGTTACTGGTCTGAACCTCTCTGCCACTGCACTGTAACCTGTTTCCCTCTGCTCAGGAGTTACTGGTAGTGTCTGCATATTGTCATGGCTAATAAAAGGTAGTTTTGCAGGGAAAGGGGCCTCTGTATTTCCTAAATTTGCAAGAGCTTTAAGGGGGGCAGCAGGGGTAAGTGTTAATACTTTCAATCCAGCTATTTTACCCTAGAGCACACCAGCAACTAAGCCGAGACTTTTTGGTTTTTAGTGTACAGTCGTAATATTGCTCTGTCAGGTCTCCTGGCAGGGTGCAATCACGAGAGGTGGATGGGAGGAGGCACGTTGAGGAGAACAGTGCTGTTTGGAGTAAAAATTACAGCTGGGCTCTGGCTGCAAGGAAGAAACTCGCTTGAATTCCCTCAGGACAGGCCTGGCACGGGGGACCTGCACAGACATAAAGGGAGGAGAGATTTGCTGGCAGCGTCTTTATTACTGGTACTGATGCGTGAGCCAGGCTGGGTTTCCCAATCCAAGACAGACAGGCAGGGCTGGCAATGAGCGTAGCCCATCTTTTCCCCTCATCAGCCACAATAAATACAGAGCTCCCTGATGCCAGCCTACAGCGGAGCAGCTTTCAGTGCGCTCAGAGCTTAAAAACCCCCGTGCTTCTCGGTGTAACGGGTTGAGCGAGGTCTGCCCCTTCTCTGACTGTGTGTCCGCTGGAGAGGTGCCTGGTTGCCCGGCGTCAGTCCCCTGCCCACGGGCAGGGTGCAGTGTGGGGCAGAGCTGTCGCCTTCAGTCAGCGGCACCGAGCTGAGGAAGCCGTTGTGAAATCTTGGGAACACAGCAGCACATGCCAAGGCATGGAAATGGGTGAAAAACCAGTGGCAGAGATAAAAACCCTTCCCACTCCTTTGTGCACCCCTCCCCAGGTCTCTGGGTTGATGGGTAGATCCTCAATTGCTCTTCATGGACATCCTTCCTCCACTCTCTTTGCTTGGGTTCAGATCCCTTAGCCCTTGCCCATCCTTCCCAGCGAGGAGAGGGGCTGCTCTTGATGGAACAGCCTTGGAGATGGGGACTGTGTTTCAGGGAGACAGACTTCCCTCCCAGTTTGTAGTGGCTTTGGTGGAGGGTCTGCTATATTATCTCTTGGCGAATGTTTTGCACCCCTTTCCATCCGTTTCTGGTGAATTCCCTCAGTGCAAGGTGTTGCAAGCCCCCAGCCTTCCTCCCTGGCTGCACAAACGCCCTGGCATCCTCCACTTGAGCAGGAGGAGGAATATCTCCCCTCTGTCTCGGAAACCAGCTAGGTCGTTGGGCTGGCTCCTGGTTGTGTTTGATCCCAGGCAGGGGAAGCCTGCTTTAAAAGCATCTCCTGAAATTCTGGAGCAATGTCTGTGCTGCACCTGCTGTTGCGATACCCAGGACTCCTGCCGGAAACACATAGGGTAGATTTGCCCACACGTTTGTGCAAGCCACATGTGCTGCAAGGTTTGGGCTACTACAGATGCAGAAAACAAGTGCTGACAATGCATGTTGGGCCCCAGTATAACCCTACGCAGACTGGCCAGGCTGGAGAAACTCTTTAAAATAGCATTTACAGTGTGAACGGTGGCAGAAGTTCAGCAGATGCCACTGTAATTACTGGTGCTCGCACAAAAGAAAAGTCTAATGGATGCTGCCTTCTCACTAAAGTGTTCAGGGAGTCACAGCATTTGAAAATCCTTAAAGAGCTTTTCTATCAGCAAAAGGTGCAAAATGTCTGGGAGCTACAGAGAATTGAAAGAGAGAAGAAAATTATTTAATAAAGGGCCATAGACTGGAGGATCTCTGGATTTAACGGTTAAAGTCTCCAGTCAGGTGAAGCGGGGCTTGACTTAGGGCTCAAAAGAGGGAAAATTGGAAATAACTCCCAGAGAGGATTACTTGGTTCTGCTACGCTTAAAGCACCCAGCACTGCTGGTTCAGGAAGCCCTGTCTCCTTGTTGTGGAGGAGAAGGTGGGGCGTATGCTGGCAGTGACCCGTCATCCCCTTTCCCATCAGCTCAGGAGCTGCTTGCTGTCACTCTGCCCTTAGGAGAGGGGCATCATTAAGCTAAATACAGGTTAGAACAGCTTGGCTGGTGTTACTGTGGGCTAGCTTCTTCCAGATCACAAGCAGCGAAGTGCTTCCTAGCTGATGAAAGTACTGGGGTGAAGATGATGTCAAGAAACACACTGTCCATGTGTGGTTTCTTTTAGAAACCCACAGGACTAGAGGTACAAAAGTAAAAGCAAGGAACCTCCTTTCCCAGCCAGGGCTGCCAGAGCAGTTCAGGCCAGGGAGCTACTCCGGCCAGCAGCACTGAAGCTCTGCCATGCTTGCAGGGCCTGCCGATTGCGATTTAGGGATCAGAAGCAGTTGAGATCTTTATGGCTCATTGCTCTGTCTACTCATGGTGATGTTGCTCCTCACAGCGTAGCTGGGTCCTGGACCTCGTGCTGGGCTACCTGGGCTATCTCGTCTGATACGCCCTGTCCATGCCTCTTCCAAGTCCATGACCCCCCTGCTCTTTCCAAAGCCAGGAGGTCTGGCATGTTGTAACGCACATGAGTTTGGTGTCCTCTTGCTGCCATTCACATGGAGCATGGGCTTGGGATACTCCTGCAAAGTTGCTTTTGCTTGGAGGCTGTTGACAGTCTGAAACAAACCCCAGCTGTGCAGAATGCTAGACCTCCAGTCGTGCTGCAGCAGAGGTGCCTTGCCTGCCTCTAAATGTTCCCATTTGTCTACCTGAGCTACACCAGCCATGGTAACGTGGAGCTCAGTGCAAGCTGATAGCGAAGTCAACCATGTAGCTAATGGAGTTATATGCTTCCAGGTTCTGAAGCTGCAGCTTTCCTTGAGGTCTCTATACAGCATTGTGGTATAGACATACAGAAGCAGAGACATTTATTTGGGAATGAGAAGTCTGTTTAATTTGGGCCAGCTCTAATTGCTGGCATGAAATCCTTAATTGTGTCATTAAACTATAAAGATCATCAATATGCTTTGCTCTGGCAAATAAAGATGCCTTGTGTTCAGCATGAGTCACAAATTGTGAGTCAGGAGAAATGGATTGCAAGAAAATGGCGATAAATGAATAGGTTGGAGAGCACAGCGTTTCGATGTTCCTAATCAAATTGACCAAAAGGATTGAAGTGCTGCAAGGCTTTGATGGGTAGTCCAAGACGGAGCTTTTTAATTAATATTTTGTTTTTTCTCTTTCTATATGCAGACAACGTTTCCTGTGACTCCATCGCTTGCAACAAGCCCCACGATGGCTTTTAGTCCCTACCTGAGTCATGTTTCTCCTGGGATGGGCTTGGTTCCTGCAGAGCTTTTACCAAATACTCCTGTCCTGGTTTCCGGAAACCCTACTGTTACAGTACCAGGAGGCTCTGCTGGGCAGAAACTGATGCGTACGGATAAACTGGAGGTATTTGGATGTCTGATACGATACTGCTGATGGGAATCAACAGGGCGTGTGGCCCCAGCTGTTGGTCTCTGCTAGACTGACCTGATGCAGCACAGCGCAGTTTAACCTGCAGCTTTCCTGACACAAGGCTGCTGCTCTCTGCTTGAGCAGACTCTCATGCAGGGCCTGATCCCAAATCCTTGGAAGGTGCTGAAAATCTGGGAGCGCTCACTCTTCTGATTTCGGCAGGCGTTAGAGCAGGGCCGGGATTGTTGTTTTCTGTGTATGATCTGCCACCCTTAAAAAATGCAAGCGGGTGATCTCCCATTTCACTGAGTTTAGTGGGAGATGTTTTGGAAGTAACAGTCACTTTCCTTGTCTTGAGATGGGCTTATTGAGCTATTACAGAAAGCTTTAAGTGTTATGCTGTTGGGAATGCTGGGTACAGGGGCACTGGAAAGACATCTCCTCCCTCCCCCAGTTGGCTGGGAGTCGTAAATGTCTTTCAAACACTAAGTAGAGGCTCTGCAGGAGATAAGGGCTGAGGACCTGAATTCAGAGGCCCCTGCAGGTGTAAATTACAACACAGGAAGGTAGTGGAGAAGGGTGTAATTTGGAAATATGTTGTTTTGTGTTATGTGCTTCATATTGCCTTGCGGATTGCTTCCGTTCTCACATGACGTCTCACCTTTCCCCACACTCAGTCTGATAGTGCACTGGTATGTGATCCGCACCACCAGCTATAGTCCTCAACGATTTATCTTAGTTTCTCAGACAAGGAAACCTTGCAGATCCATTTTGTGAAACCTTTTTCTCTGCCTTTGCTTTAGTGCTTGTAACTTACGAGGATCTGCAAGATCTTCCTAAAGCTAGCAATGTTGGTAGCACCTTATGAACGCATTGCAGTGTAATCAAATGCACTGTCATGTAACCCCAGGGTCAGAGTTTTATTGTGGAGGGCAGTGAGACTTTATGTGAAAGAGGCTCCTCATATTAAGGAAAAGGTACTTGTTGCAAATAATAGCAGCATGCAACATTTAGAATTAAATGTCCTGCCTGAGAGTATGCTCCATAAAAAATACATAATCCAGCTGAGACACAAATGGCAGTTATTAACGTTTAAGCTTTAGAGGCAGGGGAGGAACCCTGAGCTCAAAGTTTTGGCAAAACAACGTTAGCTTCCTGGGGTCACTTTCCATTCTGCACAAATTCTGTACTTCATTTGTATTTGGTGATTGGTCTTGGTAACGCTGTGGGTTTTTTTCATAACCTGAACCAGTTTTGAGTAGCACCAGTTGCTCCTGTGACTGTTGGTATATGTGCTACCCAAGACAAGCATGAATTTAGAATACATACGTGGTTTAATGTGGCTAACTGAACTGATATTCTGTGTTGAAAATACTGAATGAAGAGTAACTTGATGTTCTGCTCAACAATGTGACTTTCTTTTAAGGTTTGTCGAGAGTTTCAGCGTGGAAATTGCACACGTGGTGAGAATGATTGCCGCTATGCTCACCCTATAGATATTGCAATGATAGACACAAATGAAAATACTGTTACAGTTTGCATGGATTACATCAAAGGTCGATGCTCTAGGGAGAAATGCAAGTACTTTCATCCCCCTGCACACCTGCAAGCCAAAATCAAGGCAGCTCAACACCAGGTGAACCAGACAGCTGCAGCTGCAATGGTAAGTAGAGCTCTTACCAAGCTGTATTTCCATTGCTAAGAGATTTCATTTGTGTCATATGTGACATTTGTGGAAAGTAGAGTGCTTTGTACATGGCTGACTAGAGAGCTGAGAGCATGTGCAGTATGAATCCCATCTCTTCATCCTTTCTGTGTGCTCACCATAGCGTGCAGCCCTGCGTGGCGCAGTCCCTCTCGCCAGTTAGGGGAACAGTAGCAAACCCTGTGATTTTCTGATGTGACATCATGAGCTGACATGAACGCAGGTACAGCAGCACCTAGAACCAGCACCTTCCCTGCCTAAGTCGTAGGTGTCAGTTCAGCTTCCTCAGTACACAGCAAAAGCAAAGCCTGCCCATCCCGTAATACATCCTTTGCAGGGAGATCCTGACCTGCTGAAGCCAGTAGCAAAGTTTCCACTGACTGAAAAGCAGACAAGTTGTTCAAGCTTAACAAACTTGTGCCTTGATACCTTTTTTGAGGCTTAATGAAATGACAAGGCTCAAACTGAGGATGACTTCCTGACCTGTTTGATACTTGGGATCTGGTAGAGATGGTCCCGCTTGCATTTTAATTTGCATTGTGACTTCTAATACCTACAATTCTAAAAATGAGTGAAGGAAGACTTACCAAATAAAATTCAGAGCTGGAGTAAATGTTTGCCATTCTGTTGAATTCAGTTTAATGGCACTGATTTATTCCAGAGATGAGAGAGCTGGGATGTTCCGCCTGGGGAGGGAAGAAGAGGCTCAGGAGATCTTACCCATGTGTATAAATTCCTGATGGAGGAAATAAGACAACGGAGGCAGGCTCTTCTCTGTGGTGCCCGGTGAAAGGACAAGAGGCAATGGGCATGAAATAAAATATAGGAAATTCCATTTAAACGTAAGAAAAACTTACTTACCATGAGGGTGATCAAACACTGCAACAGGTTGCACCATCCCTGGAGATACTCAGAACCTTCCTGGGCACAGTCCCAAGCAAGCTGCTTTAGCTGACCCTGCCTTGAGCAGGGTGTTGGACTGGATGATCATCTCCAGAGGTCCCTTCCAACCTCATCCATTCTGTGATTATTTAAAAAAAAAAGAAACTAATATTAAAAAGATTCTTGCTTCCTTTTCGATTTACAAGTAAGGCTACTAAAATTTTTCTGAATACAATTTTTTTAAAGACAGTAAACGAGGTTGCTTTTCATTCATGGTGAAATGTAATGCAAAACTGGGAAGTTTCTAGAAATTAAACAAGTGCCCTCCTTGTAGCATCAGCATTACCTGGAACAGAATTTGAAGAACAGATTTATACTGTAGTATTTATTTGTCCTGCAGAGTTTATTTTTTAGATTTCTTACTATTTTTATTATTGTTGGAACAACAGCCCAGGTCTGTTGAAAAAGAACCTTCTGAAATGAAACTCTTGTGTTTTTTACAATTGAATCTTTACCTTTTTACTAATTATTTAGAACACTGCTACTTAACCAAAGCCAGTGCATGTTTTATTCATGCTGCTGGCTCCTCTTAAAAATGTAATTAACCTTATTTGTATGCTGTTAACTAGAATCTTTAAAATATTTATTGATGGCTTGTTGCATCACCTCTGTTACTAAAACAGCTTACATTATTCATTAATTTTTCAAGATTTGATGCATTTACTGTACCTGTTGAGGAATAAGATTTTAATAAAGGGAAGAATGGTGCCTGGTTTTCTCGTATCAAAAAGCATATGCCAGACAAATGGGTGTACCTTCTAAAATAGATTTGGAATGACTTCAAATCTAAATTCAGAAGATATTTCTGAGGGCCCCAATCCTGCAGTTACTTGACATGCACAAGTAGTAGCTTAGTAGCTTTACTCACTCCTGCGTGGCTGAAGTCAGTGCAGCACAGCCAGACGAACTGCGTCGGGCTCAGTCCTCGGTTCAGGGTGACGTGCACTTGCATGGCACGTAGCTGCAGAATTAGGGCTGAAGCCCACTGCAAGTCCACTTGCAGGTGCTAATCCCAGAGCGCTCCTCTGTGCCAGCCGCAGCGAAGATGCTCTAAAGCACACGTCCCATGATGACATTTCTTTACTTTTAAAACTTGCCAAGGCAAAATAGCTGACTAGCCGCTAGGCCAGGTAGTTACTCAGCCACCGCACGTTGTGCATGGCCTCGTCTTTTTAATAAATTGTATAATGCATTCTTTTCCCCCCCCCCCCTTCGCCTCCCCAAAATGTTGCTCTTTCTTGACACACCTCTGCTTGCTCTTTTTGTTACTGTGCTTGACCCCCCCTCCCTGGCCCATTGCCATCATGTGCTCGCTGCCTGCTAATTAAGACTCAGCCAGCTGTCAGATCACTGAAGCGACCGCTGGAGGCAACCTTTGACCTGGTACTTGAACCTTTCACCTTCTCGCTTTGCACGTAACCATCGTAGTCTGCATGAAAGCCTTCTGCACTTGGTCTGTTGTGTTAGTGCCCGGGGAGACTGCCCATCCCGGCCAGAAATGTTGCAGTGTGCGTTCAGACATGCCAATCCTGTGCCCCACACGCCATCCATTAACCATCTGAGCTTTGCTTCCTGAAGGCTGGATGTGCTTTGGAGGCAGTGAATAGTCTTGCGAGGAGGCAACTCTGGTTTTTGAAGTGTTTTTCCAAACAGCAGCAGCTTTGGAGTCACGAGACGCGATAGTTTCGGTGAGAATTGAACTAATTAGGTCTGCAGTGTGCTGGTTATGCCAGAGGACTAGGCGGTGCAGGACAGATGCAGCAACTTTTGGTGGTGTGTCTAACAGCGCAGCCTTGTCGGGCAGCGTTGTGCTGGTGCTGCCCTGCAAAAGGGTGTTCTGTGCAGTGGGCACAACTTAAATTTAGGAGGGAGAGAGCTAAGCAGCACCCTCGGAGATCTGTGCTGCGAACCAAAGCAGGTGCAGTGCAGGACTTTGGTCGCATGTTTGGTAAGCTGGGGAGATGGCTGCTGTTGCAGCTGGCTCGGTCTCTGGTTCTTCCCCCCCTGCCTCAATGGGACAGTGGCAGCAAAGGGACCTCGTTCTGGGTGCCTTTTGCTTCAGTCTCTGGCACAAGATCTGCTCCTCAGGCTTTTGTCTGCAAGCTGGCTTCATCTAAGCTACCTTTTATTATTTTCTGAATCTCTGATATGTTTTACTTCATTTTCGTGACACTCATAGTGAGGCAAAAGCCATCTTCCCAGTCTTCTGTCAGTCCTGGCTCCATAGAAGACAACTCCTTCCCGTTCACCCCAAATAATGAGGGATCCCATACATCCTAAAAAAACCCAGCTCCTGTCACCCATCTATAGAGGGGAAGGAGAAGAGTGGGCACAGAGAAGCCCTGAAACCTTCAAGCTGGTGTTGCTCCTCATTCCCAGAGCTAAGAAGCAGAGGCTGATCTGCTCCCCTTCCCCTCCGAAGATTTGATTTGGGGTTTAAGTAGTCAAGAATCTTCCTTATTGGAGTTTTAGGCAGCAGCAGTAGGAAACCTTGCTAGGGACCAGCTTCTACCAGCAGTCCTGAAATTACGCTGTACGTGACATAACCCTCTCACTCCCCGCTGCTCACGGCTGGCACGGGCGCAGCCCCAAAGCCAGACCAGGTGGCAACCTGCACGGTGCCTCGCTGCCCTCTCCAAGAGCCACCTCTCCGAGCAGACACGGGCTGGCAGAGAACAGGAAAGCCCTTGAATTCCCCTGCCCTCCTGACCTCCTCCACTGAACAAAACCCCATTGGATAAGTTTCTTTTAATAGTCTTCCTGCTCTGAAACATCTGAAGGTTTGCAACCGTGTTGTTGGAGTATGCCACCTCCTTGGAACCCTTCAGGAAGGCTGCACCAGAGAAGGATTCACAGTGGTGATAACAGCACATATCATCTTCAGAGGAAACTGCTCAGATTGCTTCTGCTGCTTGCCAGGGAATGGCGCTGCCTCTGTCCTCTCTCAGATCATTCTGTATTTGTCGTGCCTTGTTGTGACTGAAGCACCAAGGCAGATGCAGACCCAGCCCCTCTTTGCTAAGAGCAAAGGGGTGAAAGTGTGATCTGTGCCCAGGAGATAGCCATCTGAGGGGAACTTTGAGGTGCAATTAAGTTGTTTGTTGCAAAGGAAAAAAACAAGAGAGAGTTGTTAACCAGCACATGGGAAATTTTGACTTTGGCATGCAGTGCATTTTTATCTGTCAGTCATGCTGAAAGATTTCTTTCCATGCCATGCAGAGACGTGGCACAAACCTCTTTGTTCAGATGCTTGTGTTCCAGGAATGTGGCTTTCCCAGCCCAAAAATGGGAGGCTGCCTGGCATTTTTGTAGCAGGAATTTTTCATTGGGGTCAGTGCGGGCTATCACATGGATACTGAACTGAATTAACCCTTTCACAGGGCACATGGTCTGATCATGTTGTGTAGGTTGCATATCCATGTGTGCACAGAAACACACAAGCAAAAAAGAATGTCAGAAAAAGTTACCGTCAAAGGCTGCTTCTACATCTGTGATGGTCAGAGCTTGTCCAGAGGGAAATCACAAGCAGCAGGATGAGGTGAACTCACCAAGGAAGTTCTTTGCTACAAGGGTTTAGTCTAGCTCCTGTCCTGCAGTGAGGAGGCACTTGATACAGAATTTGGTAAGGTCAGAATGTGGCGAGGAGTCTCCTGTTGCCTTTTGTAGGGGCTGCAGGACATGCTTGGGGGACTACTTCAGAGCCTGGACATGGTACAAGACAGAAATATTGTATCCCCACAAGCTGTTGTAATTCCTGCAGGTCCAGAGACAGATAAATTCTGGCCCGTTTGAAGTGGGACACTTGTTTGCTCCTGTGTCCCTGCCAGATCCCTGTGCAAGAGCTATATTGGCCCAGCTTCATCACATGGAATTTTAGACACCTCTCCCAGACATTTGTAAATAGATGTTTTAGTGAGCGTGCTCCTGGCTTAAGGCTCTAACCTCAACACAAGGGCTGGAGAAGTGGTGAAGCCAGATCCTTCTGTCCCCTTGGGCCCTCTTGCACCTTAATGTCTAAAATAGGATAGATTGGCAACAGAAGGAGCACGTCTTTAGGCCATACTGCTGTACAGATGCTTGCCCAGCTGCTGGGGTGGGAGGGCTGTGTCAAAGCAGAAGCAGACCGAGACGGGCTCCTGTGCCCACAGAGCCAGCCTTCTGTGCCTGCTTCTTTAGAAGACTGGAAAAGTTGCGTTTGTTTGGGCTTCTCCACCCAGCTGCTGTTGAGGCATTTCCCAAAGGTGCAGTTCAGGGAGCAGTGGTGGGACTGCCGTAGCTCTGTTCTCTCTCTTGCTCCCAAGGTGCTGCGGCAGGGTCGGAGGAAGGGTAATGTTAGAGAGATGATGTAGTCCATTGTGCCTTGACTTCCCTATGGCCTGTTGGTATTTGTACGCTCCCTCTGACTGTGACGCTGGGCTCAGGAATTGTCCTGCGTGGAAGGAGCCAGGACATCATGGCAAGGTCTCAAAGCCTTCAGCTGTTCTGCTTTTGGCACTGCCATTACGGGATAGTGGGCTTTTTGGGGTAGTGACAGCCTTTGGCCAAGAAGCAAGGAGTCAAAAGTCCATTATGTGTCTGGCACAGATGCTTTGCTATAATTAGTAATTTTTTTTTCTGAGGCAGATTTTGGAAGTATCTGAAAAAGAACGTTTTGCAATCAGGCATGGCAAGGAGCATGAATTTAAGTGGCAAGTTCTTCAGTCACTGTAAATCTGTAAAACACCTCTGATGTAAGTGGAGCTACTCCAGTCTGCAGATCTGTCCTGTGCCCGGAGGAACGAGATGGAGATACAGTCGAGATTTAACGTAGATAACAAGGAGGGCTCCCCTAGAAATGGAAGCTCTTAGATCTTTACCTAAAAGACGTCATCCTAAAATACAGATCTAAAGTAAAAGATTTTGGTGTCTGTGTCTGAGAATGTTGCACTGTGTTTAACTGCTGTCTTTTGGTACTAGCCAGAAGAAATCTGGAAAGATTAAGTCCTAATGCTGGCACTGAATGCCTGCTAGCGTTAGCAGAGGATGTGTGCATGTCTGAGGGCAGTTTTGCAAATGCAATTTCTTCTTCTAATTTTCTTTTTTTAATATTAAGCCACCTAAAAGCCACCATGTGAACAGAGATAGGATGGAGTAATGTTTTGCCTGGAAGTATCTTGCTTAACGTTTCTCAGATGAGCAGTCTCCTATAGCAAATTAAATTTAAAGTGAAACCTGTTTCTAGATGGTGACAAGCTGTTGCAAGATTTCACTTATATTCTATTGTGTGTTGATCTTCGTAACTATTTAAAATCTCTTTACTTGTGTCCTTTCTTCCGAGTATTGTGTTTGTAGCCTTAACCCTTCATTAGCTAAACCTTATCCTTTACCTCTCCTTCACTGTCACCTACTAAAAAAAAAAAAAAAAATAGGAGTGATAACCCTATTTCTCAGTCCTTGCTTTGCTACATGATATAGACTAACACAACTAGGCAGAAATGACCTGATTCTGCATGACTTCCACGTGCGTAAATCTCATTGACGTCAATGGGAGCGTTACGTGCTAAAGGACTGCAGGGCATAATTAAAAAGGACCCTTTTCTATCACAATGTGGAAGAAAAGAAATGTGATTTCTACTTGAGTACAATGAAAAGCTGTAACTTATTAGAAACATTTCTGTCTCCTAAGAACTTGACATACTACTTTGCTGTTGAGACATGCTTGGGTGAATGATGAGTAACTCGCTGAAAAAAGTTCCTGAGTTGGGTTAATGCTTTTTACCAAGTCTGATCATGAAACAGGTTTGACGGGCTGGAAGAAGCTCGGTGGTGTGATAGAACAAAAAGAGAGGATTTGCCTGATAGCAGGGCCCACCCAAATCTTCTTTGAACACAAGATTTGTCAATGGCTTTTTCCACTGTTAGTCATGAGCAAGCAGTATTTAACTGTTGGAGGCCTTCTAGAAATTGGGAGCAGGTCCAAATCTGCCGGTGGTGAGCTGTGCTGCTGGTGCAGGAGGTGGAGAATCAGGCCTGTTCTTGGCCATGTTGCCCAGCCTCTCTACTAATGAGTGGAAAGGTGTTTTACTATGGACGTAATGCATGTACGCATGTAGTTACGCAACATGTAGTTGGCAACAGCCACTGCTTTACCACCTGGAGAGTGGTCAGCAGTGGGTCAGCTGCATACAAGTGTGCACGCCTCCGTGCTTCCGCACAGACACGTAGGCAGGTGTTGAAACAGGCAGAGTGTTGTGGTTTAGCCCGGCCAGCAACGAAATGCCACACAGCCACTCACTGCCCTCCCCCACCCTCAGGGGATGGGGAAGAGAACCAAAGGGGAAAAGGGAGAGAGACCCGTGGGTTGAGATAGAACAACTTAATACTACTACTAATAATATATGAATATATATATGTATAGTGATAATAATATGTACAAACAAGTGATGCTCAGTGTAATTCCTCACCGTCTGGTGACCAAGGCCCATCCCATCCCGGACTAACGGTCCCGAAACAGATAAGTCCTGACACCACAATCCCAGATCAGTGAGAGGCCCAAAAAGAGAGAGAGAGCACTCCAAGAGCGAGAGCCCCTGGAAGAGCAGAAGCGCTTCTTTCTAGTCAACTCTCATTTTTATACTGGGCATGACAATGCATGATATGGAATATTCCATTGGCCAGTTTAGCCCTCAATTCTAAATCTAAGTTCGAATCATAAGGGGAGTTGTGGCCCCTTGTCCCAGCCATGCTGCCCCCAGCCTGTTGTGCTCCTGCACACTGGCAAGAACACGGCAGCTGAAAAGTCCTTGAGGTCTCAACACCAACTATAACCATCAGTGCGTTATCAGTGTTCTTCTCATAGCAAATCCCAGACTAAAACCAAAATACAGAGCTCTTCTAGCTGCTAAAAGAACTGTCCCAGCTGAAACGAGGACACAGAGGCAAGCATCCCTTTTTTTTTTTTTCCATAGCATTTGTTGCTTATGCTAATCTTCTTGGTTTTTAAGTAGTCATCTACTATATTTCTCTGAGCTGCTTTGTTTTGGGTTTTTTAAGTGGTTGTTGCCTGTAGCTGCTCTTTGTAGTATCCTGTCCAGGTGATCACCTCTCTCCTTCCTCCATG